GTGAAGCTATTTCTCAATTCACAATGCTATCCGTATGGAAATCTCAATTTGAATATCAATCAAAATCAGTATGCTGTTCTCTACGATATGTATACTAATTTTCAAAACGCTTATTATGGTAAAGAAAACTAGCTGTTACTCAATAAAAAAGATTTCATCAATAAAGTGCCGCTAATAGTTATAGACTGCTCCAAACAAAATGAAACATTAAAAAGCGCGCCAGTCGATGTTCGCTTAGAATTTGAAACTCGGACTGATTTTCCTGAAGATACTGCAGCCTACTGCTTAATATTACACGATCGTATTGTACAATATAACCCGATTAGTGGTGATGTTAAAAAATTAGTTTGAAATTAACAAGACATTATGTAATCAATGTATATCAATACAATGCTTTTCAATAAAAAAGAAAGTAAATTATATATATTGCTGGAATTTAATAAAAACTACCTATAACCATACTCTATAGTGTCTATGACGCCCTATACTTTCGATTGGTGAGGTATGGTGACTATGGCGTCCTCTACTTTCGAATAGTGAGGTATAGGCTTTATATAGAACAAACACGTGCCTCTACTCTCATAACGGTTTTGGGATCTCGTAGAGGTCACATTAACTTCAGCATCTTTTCAAATGGATTTCGTAATAGATTTTCAAGGCTTTCAAAGTTTAAACGAGACTTTTGTTTGTAAAGAACTCGCATATCTACCATTAGATATAGATACTGTTCCAACTGTGTTTTTCTTCGAACCACCATATCATTGGTTTCAACTTCCTATCAAGTATCGAAAAGTGAATCATTTCTTAGAAACGTGTCATCATGGTTTATTATGGAGATCCGATCTTATTCCATATAAAAATTTAGCACGTGTTAAATAATTCTAGAAATATTTATGTGAAAGGATTAACAAAGAAACAATGGTTACAAAAAATTTTACCTGAAAAGTAAGTATTTTTATTTATTTATTTTTTTGTTAGAAATTAAAATCATTATTAATTAAAAATTTTTTTCCTTTTTTAGAAAAATTTTAGAATTTGAAAGCGAGATGAGATGTCCGCCAATGAGCGCATTACCTTACCCATTAGAAACAAAATGTACATATCATTATAATAAACCAGCTAACTTTGTATGTGCAAAGTAATGCACAAAGATTGTTTTCATGGATAAAAGCTAGACTGAAGCAATCTGAAATGGAAGGTATTGATGAAGTGGACAATATTACATATAAAATTTCAACTCAATATTTCAATATAGCGATGTCAACTACTGAAAATAAAGATTATAGACAGACTGTATTATATTCAATGTATAGTTGAATGAACAATAAATTAATAATTAAACGAAAATTCTATAAGTTTTATTAATTAAAATTCGAATAAAATCAACTGTGAGGTTGAAAGGTTCCCGAAATCTAATGAAAATACTATAGCGCTTGCTTAGAGAAAGAGAGAGAGAGAGAAGCATATAGCTTACCAAGCTATATGCTACCTTCTCTCCAAGGGCCCACATGTCCTACTATCGAAGGAGAGCGAGAGAGAGAGAGGGAGCAGCATCCTCACTATACAGCTTATACGTCTAGCAAGCTAGAGACGCTACCCCCTCTCCAAGGGCTATACAGCGCACGCTCCTAGCAAGCAGCAAGAGACGTTACCTCCTCTCCAAGGGCTATACTATGCACGCTCCTAGCAAACAGCTAGAGACGCTACCCCCTCTCCGTGAGCCTAGACTCAGCCAGCATAAGCTTACTAACGAAGCACCCTACTATCGGAGGAGAGAGTGAGAGAGAGAGAGAGAGAGACACTTTTATTATATAATTTATTAATTTTTTTATTTATTTAGAAGTTTTTTTTAATTTTTTTTTTACCGTATGGTTTGGAAGGTTGTGTTGGCCTTCGAAACATTCCGGGATACATTATATTTACATATTCTATTTTTTTCATTTTTATTTTACTCTTGTTGGTGGCGGTGGTAGTGGTGGTGGTGGCGGTGGTAGTAGTGGTGGCGGCGGTGACGGTGGCAGCAGTGGTGGTGATGGTGAAGGCATTGGTGGTAGTGGTGGCGGTAGTAGTGGTGGTGGTGATGTCAGCGGTAGTAGATTTTGTAACGTGTGTATGTGTGTCGTTGACTCGAGCGCTCGCTTGCTGGCGGTCGCGGAGCCGTTGGCGGGAGGCAACGCTTACGCGCGTTTGCCGGGGACACAATTAGCTCCGTACACTCTGCTAACGGCGCTCTTCGGATACGGACAGTCCTTGGACAAGTGACTCTTCGTTGACTAACTAAGGATGGAGCGACTTTCTCAAATCATTTGGAGAATATTGGAAGTGCGACGATCTTAGTATCGAAGTGTTTTGTCCGGTCCAGGAAGCAGCCCTTCTTTTCTTAATCAACGCCAACAATTCTTCTCCATGATGACATCGATGCAGTCGTCTGACAAATCTACATTTTGGAATTTTAACTGTGAGCTTCAGGATAGATAATTCTTCTTTGAAATCCACACCGCTGTAGTACGTTTGGAGAATGCGGCGATGCCGGCTTAGCGTTTCATTTAGCATGTAAGTGATGATTTGAATCGATGAAATCGATCACATTATTAATTTGACTAACATAGTGAGTGACGGAAAAAGAGAAAACGAATAATAACGAACAATTGAAAGTGTCTGACTAATTAAAATTACAAGATTTTGAAATAATTATTAATTTTAAGTTACGTAATGCATTTCAACGGCTAGTTCAAGAATGTAAATAATGGCGCGTATGTAAATAAGGCGGACAAAGCGGTTTTGAATATTAGGAATTTGAATAAGGCGACAACAATTTAACTCTGACCTTGTGTACTTTGAAACTTGTAATTATTATATAAGACAATTCAACGCTGTGTAACAAATTTGAATAATGCGACTTTATGATGAATACTGACACGATATACTTTTAATTATTTTAAAATATTACCCTGCTCTATCCACTCATATGACATAGTGTGTGCATATTTGTATTTCTCCTGAGTCTAATACTGGATTCGATAGAATGCAAATTATAACTGGCGCCTAACTAAGTGGATAATTGAATATTTATTATTCAATTATTTGAACCCTACATACACGTATGAGTGATAGAGTAGGAATATATATAACTAAGTCCGGCTGATTGTCGAAGCAAAAAATAATCAACCTCAATTACTCCCGTGGGAAAACAACTGTTAAACGTAACACTAATACAAAAAATATGGTTTTTCCTCGTGACGAGCATGATGCACAACCGAGTGGACGACACAGCGATCCGCTCATCATGGAACAACTACAACAGCTTGCTGAACAACAAAGACAAGAACTAGAAGCAAGGGATTTACAACTGCGGGAGATGAGACAACAACTCGAAGCTCAAGAAGCCGAATTTCACAGGCGCGAAGAAGCTCAAGCGAACGCTACGAGTTCTCATCAGGACGACGGTCGTAACAATAGACAACAATCAACGTTGCTGCGAGAAAAGGATTATACGGCGGAAATTTGCACAATTATGGGTAATGTTACAAGTATGCATATTGATGTTAAAATGCCCGAATTCCATGACGAGAATATGTCAAACCCTTTGCAGTTTCTTGATGACTTTGAAAGATTCTGTTCGATTAAAAATATTAAGAATCAAGATAGGTTGAGAATTTTGAATATAGCTTTGAACGGTAAGGCTAGACACTGGTACGAGTTGCAGGCCCCTTTCATGACTTTTGATCAATTCAAGGAAAACTTTCAAAACGAATTCTATAGTTTAGCGATTCAGATTAATTTCAAAGATAAATGGTCAAATAGAAAGTTCAACAATAGTGAGGATAAAAATTTACAAACATATTATTACAAACAAATGAAACAAGCCAATTATTTGAGACCTCAAATTACACAATATGGAAAAAAAATTAACAATAATTAAACAATTTCCTCTCTCTGCGAGGAAGAGTTTAGCCCTTATAGACTATAATAACTCAAACGACATAATTAAAGCAATAATTAGTCTTGATGGCCTGTACAGTGAAAAGTCCAAAGTTTATGAGTACGAGAACGGTTATAATAGAGTAAATTCAAACAATTGTGGTTATTACAATTCAAAGTATAACAATTCAAACTATAAAAGTAGGAATCATAATGATAAACAGAATGTACAAATTAGCCAATTTAAAATTCAAAATTCAAAACAGCACACGTCAAATTATCGTGGCAAGGGGAACTTTTATAAGTTTAAGGGACGCGGTATAGCACACGGCACATCTACTCAAAACTTCCAGAATCATAATAATTTAGAAAACAATAGGCCTCGGTGTTCACAACAGTTCCCGAGATTAGTACCCGATACACGATTTCCCCCGCCCGTGAAGAGTAACGTTAGTACATGCGCCGATGTAAACACGCAGCATCAACAAAGTCATTTAAACGAGAGATAGGCGCGTTGAGTTGTGGTCCGTCAGCGCGTCAATATCACGACGATGTAGTAAATGAACTATCGAAGGAGATAGACAAGGTGGACCGCGAACTTGAAAAAAATTTATTAAAGAGAATTCCCCCATCACCTCATTTATTATGTACTATAGATAATAAACAGATTTGGTCACTGGTTGATACGGGTAGCTAAATAAGCGCGATTTCAGATGAATTTTATAATGAGATAAAGAATTCTTTTAGAATTGCCAGTCACAAATATGGTCGTGTCGGTAGCCATTGGAAAAAAACCAACTACAATAAAAAAACAAACCATGTTAAAAATAAGTATAGACGGAGAAACTTTTGAATTTATCTTTTTGGTGGTGCCATCTCTAACAAGTAAATTGATTTTGGGAAATGATTTTCACCTGAGGATTGGATTGATTATTAATTATTGGCATAGAATAATACAAATAAAAAACAGAATAGTAAAAGCCTCGTCGATATTGTTTGAACCGGGCTCTTCGGAGAGATTGGTCTTAACAGAAACAAAAGACAAAACATGTATATATATTTTAACGTCAAATCGAAACATGATCGAAAATGACATTATTGATGCGTACGAAAATGAATCGCAATTACAAGATAATCAAGAAGAAGATAATAACAAAATCTCTTACAAAAAATGTAGTATTGACATGATTGAAGATATAAGAAAAGAAATATCTGAAGGTAATGTAATGTCAAGTATAGATGATTACATAGATGATCTTGATAATTTACTAAATAAAGGTAAAGTTAATGCATGTACAGTCGAAAACAATAGTGATACTAGTTTCGCTGAGGAGTTTGATTCAATCGCGAGAAATCTCACAATGATTGATGAGGAAAAGAAGAACACTTTCATGAAGATGATCATACAATTTAAAAAACTATTCTCAGACAAACCTGGATGTGTCAACAATTATACACATAAACTTCGCTTAAAGTCTACAAATCCGAAAATAAATCAATCATATCCAGTACCATACGCATTGCGCGATGAAGTAGAAAAGTGTTTGGAAAAGATGTGTCAAGCAGGAATAATAGAACCAGCTATAAGTCAGTACTGTAATCCCCTTCGAATCGTACGTAAAAGCGACGGAGCGATACGCGTGTGTCTCGATGCAAGAAATCTAAATAAATATTTGGAAGATGACCACGAAGCACCACCAATAATAACAGATATCATACAAGTATTTTTCAAATGTAAATATTTCTTCAAGATAGACATGACGATGGGCTACTGGCAAATTTTACTTGATAAAGAATCACGACCACTGACTGCATTCGTCTTTAAAGGTCGAATGTATCAATTTATACGCGTACCTTTCGGTATAAGCACAGCGAGTAGCGCTTTCATTCGAGCTTTTACCATGGCGTTATCGAGCCAGGCTCCCATCACGAACATTTTTAAAAATCAACCAGAGAAAGAAAACAATCAAGTCAGTTTTTCAAACGAAATAAATATAAATAAATACTCAGCAACTTATGTTGATGATTGCGCGATCGGTACTCAAACATTTGAAGAACATATTTTGGTTTTACAAGTCATTTTCTCGAAATTGATGGCAAACGGTTTTACAATGAATTTAAAAAAATGCAAATTTTTATTAGACAAAATAAAATTCCTAGGATTTATAGTAACATATAACGGAATAATCCCTGACCCAGAACGTGTCGCAATAATAACTAATTTTGAAAATCCGAAAAACAAACAACAATTACAACACATACTTGGAGTATGTAATTACTACCGATGTTTCGCAATAAAGCATAACAATTTTATATCACCGTTTTGAGATTTATTAAAAGATAATTCAGAATGGTTATGCACCGAACAACATACTCGTGCCTTTGACGCATTAAAACAGAATTTTACAAATACTGTTTGTTTGAGTCATGTTATTCCGAACATCCCATTCAAAATTCAAACAAATGCAAGCAATAGTGGTATAGCAGGTATTTTATATCAAATAGATGAAAATAAGGAACATTGCATAATTTCTCTTGCCAGTAGATGTCTAACACAAACTGAAACAGAATATACAACGACAGAATTAGAGCTTCTAAGCATCGTGTATAGTATTGCAAAATTTAGAGAGTTTTTGGTGGGCGGGACTTTTGAGATCGTAACGGATCATAAAGCGTTAACATTTTTGAATTCGACCGTATTTCATAATTCACGCCTGATAAGATGGTCTCTGTATTTGCAACAATACTCATACACTGTAGTACACTGTAGAGGAAAGGACAACACAGTAGCTGATTTTCTGAGTCGTAATCCCGAAAGTAAATTTAAGGAATATACACAGGAAACTCTCATGATTTCATCCCTTTGTGATTACAGTTTGCCAACGATAAAGAATGACGAAGTATCTTCATTGGTAATAATGGCATTGTTCAATGCAGATACCTCATTAAAGCAAATCATGAAGAATATAGCAGAAAAGCAAAATCAAGACCTAGCTTATCAAAATTTCTTTAAACAATTAAATAATAAAAATAGAAAACACGAACATTTGCAGGTTTTTGAGAATGTATTATTCATGAAAGACCATAAATCGAAAACATGGCGTATTGTAATACCAAAAGAAATAAAAGATGAAATATTAAGACTCACTCATTTTCAATTAGGTCACCCTGGAGTATTTAAAACAGTGTCATATTTGAAAAGATATTATTAATGGCGTACGATGACTAAAGACGTTAAGACTCATGTATTAAGTTGCGACCTTTGCCAGCACGTTAAATATCTCACGATCGCGATGGAGGGACCATATCAACTCGTCGGGGCTGAAAAGCCATCAGATCTGGTGACGGTTGATTTTTATGGCCCTCTCCCTCGCGGTCGGGGGGAGTGGAGTACATATTCGTGGTCCTGGACGCGTTTTCAAGGTTAATTCGTCTTTACCCCATGAAGAAAGCCACGACAGGTGCTGCGCTTAAAAGACTTATCGAGGAATACATTCCGGAATGCGGAAAATTCGAGAGAATTTTGAGTGACAATGGTAGTCAATTTACGTCCAATAGGTGGAAAATCGAATTAGAAAAACTCGGAATAAAGGTTGTATATAGTTCAGTTAGACATCCCCAATCCAATCCCACCGAACGGGTAATGAGGGAAATAGGCAGATTTTTCAGAAAATATTGCGAAAACAAACATACCTCCTGGCCATTATATTTATCTAAAATGCAGGAACTATTTAATATAACGACTCATCATAGTACAGGCTGTGCACCTAATGAATTGCATTTTGGACAAAAAATTCAAGATAAAATAACTACATTTTTAAAGTTTCCACAATCAAATCCCATTAATCACAAATATCTTATAACCTTTGCAAAGAAAAATATTGAAAAAAGTCATGCGGCTCGTGCCAAGTATCAAAAGCCATCTAAAGTAGTAATAAAAGAAGGAGACCTGGTACTTTTGAGAGTAAGACATTTGTCTAATGCATTAGATAAGGTTACCAGGAAGTTTTTCCACTTGTTTGAGGGACCTTTCAAAGTCGCAAGGGACCTGGGTCGAAATGCTTATGTTTTAGTTGATCCAAACGATCAGAGTGTGGAGAAAGGCGTTTATAATCGCGCAAATTTAAGAAAATATCATAAGGCTTAGTTTAAAGCGTTTTAATATTGGTAAAAACGGAAGTGATCCTTCAGGAAGGGTGTGCTTTAATCGGATACTAAACAAAATTTGAAACACGCGTTTGTAAAGTGTCGACACCCTCAGTTATGTAAGAATTAGATTAAGCAATAAGCAAGTAGAATAGTTTAAGGTGCACCTATGTATATATGTATGTATAAAGCGTATGAAGATTTGCAAATTGATTAACATGTAAATTGCGAGTATGAGCGTGGTCGAACGAGTGATTTTTAGTGTAGTGTGAAGGTTTTGCGTGAGCATGAGTAAGATCAGAAATTTAATAAAATAAAATCATCAAATATCAGGAGTGAAAACATAAGAATTTTTTTATATGAGTAAAGGATGTTCTGATTGGCATGCGTCGGGGAGTGTGTGGGACGCAGCATCAGTTTATAGTGTGAATGGTTGTTTAATTTTCTGGGAACGATTGCGGACTTCCCGCTGAGTTTTTGTTTTTAGGCGGTTGACTCCAACCACTAAAAAAGGAAGAGATTGTAACGTGTGTATGTGTGTCGTTGACTCGAGCGCTCGGTTGCTGGCGCTCGCGGAGCCGTCGGCGGGAGGCAACGCTTACGCGCGTTTGCCGGGGACACAATTAGCTCCGTACACTCTGCTAACGGCGCTCTTCGGATACGGACATTCCTTGGACAAGTGACTCTTCGTTGACTAACTAAGGATGGAGCGACTTTCTCAAATCATTTGGAGAATATTGGAAGTGCGACGATCTTAGTATCGAGGTGTTTTGTCCGGTCCAGGAAGCAGCCCTTCTTTTCTTAATCAACGCCAACAATTCTTCTCCATGATGACATCGATGCAGTCGTCTGACAAATCTACATTTTGGAATTTTAACTGTGAGCTTCAGGATAGATAATTCTTCTTTGAAATCCACACCGCTGTAGTACGTTTGGAGAATGCGGCGATGCCGGCTTAGCGTTTCATTTAGCATGTAAGTGATGATTTGAATCGATGAAATCGATCACATTATTAATTTGACTAACATAGTGAGTGACGGAAAAAGAGAAAACGAATAATAACGAACAATTGAAAGTGTCTGACTAATTAAAATTACAAGATTTTGAAATAATTATTAATTTTAAGTTACGTAATGCATTTCAACGGCTAGTTCAAGAATGTAAATAATGGCGCGTATGTAAATAAGGCGGACAAAGCGGTTTTGAATATTAGGAATTTGAATAAGGCGACAACAATTTAACTCTGACCTTGTGTACTTTGAAACTTGTAATTATTATATAAGACAATTCAACGCTGTGTAACAAATTTGAATAATGCGACTTTATGATGAATACTGACATGATATACTTTTAATTATTTTAAAATATTACCCTGCTCTATCCACTCATATGACATAGTGTGTGCATATTTGTATTTCTCCTGAGTCTAATACTGGATTCGATAGAATGCAAATTATAACTTTACCCTTGTAAGGGTATTTTCAATACTACACAAGGACTCTCGAGCAACATCGTTTATCTGAAACAAAAATAATAATTTTTAAAATGTTAATTTTATATTTAATGATATGATTAATAAAAAAAAATTATACCTTAAAAAATTTTTTTTGGGGGGTAACGACGCAAAGGGATTTCTTCTTTTCCTCGCTGTTTCCACCATCACCTTTTCGGTTGCAGACTTTTCGGCTGCAGACTTTTCGGCGACAGCCTTTTCGATTGCAGCCTGTTCGGCTGCAGCTTTCTTGACTGCAGCCCTTTCAGCTGCAGCTTTTTCGGCTGCAGCCCTTTCGACTGCAGCTTTTTAGGCTGCAGCTTTCTTGACTGCAGCCCTTTGAAGAGCGGCACTTTGGGCATCAGCCCGCTGTCTTGCCGAGCGCTCAGAAAACTCCAATATCTGCTGCAACTAAAAACAAACAAATATTTATATATTTATATATTTATAAAAAGTAAAATTTATTACCTCGATCACTCCCTGCAGCAGCTGGCCAATCCTTAGTTTTTGAGCAGGATCAACCATGATTGAATGAAGCTGAAAAATACAATATATAAGACTATAATAATTAAAAATAAATATATAATAAAATTACTTACGACTGATAAAATTGCTAATAATAGATGATAAAATGTTGCTGTCGGAATGCCCGCCAGCAGGTTTGGAGGAGTCTAAAAAAGATATATAAGTCAAATTATAATATAAAGATTGATTTTTTTTTACTTACATTCACCATGAATACGATCATAGCATTTAATGTTCGAATAATTTCCAATGAATTCATGATGCACTTTTTTAATCACTTAACTTTACTCACTTTTTAAGAAGTCTTCTCTTGGAGACCTAGTCTACTAATGAAAGATTTTCTGAAAATGAAGACGTTTTTATTTCGTTCCTCCCAAAAGTTTCCTACTCTCGAAGCTCCATTCAAAAATAGTGAAAGTATTGTTTTTAAACGGAAGAGGTAATAAATTTAGTTTTAGTTGCTCAGTATGCGATTCGTAATTAAGATACAAGATAACTTCAAAAGAAAAAAAGGTACAAGGGCATGTTGGAGGATGTTAGCGCAACTAAACAAGGCTAACTCAAAAACCTTATCTCTAAGGCAAAAAAAAGCAATAAAATGACTAACAGACGTCATTAAGATTACTCTATCTCCAATCACCTGCTGCGTACATACTTTCGATCGCATCTTCATTGAAAAAGGAACATCGAATGCGTTTTAACCCTCAGCATGAGGTAAAGCGTTATTGGAGAAAGTGCAAGCTGGTGTGGGTGGTCGAAAGTTTTCTAAATTATATGTGTGGCCCTGAAAAAGGATATTGCACGCTGCTAGAACGCATCTTCATTTAAAAAGGAACATCGGTTATGCTTTAGACTCTTAGCAACGACTTCTACAGCAACCTACCTTAACAACCTCTGTAGGTGGGTGGGAGAGTGGGTGAATGGGGGGGGGGGCACTGTCGAAGGGCCCACTGGCTTCTGTCTCAGGACATACGCATATACCTTATGCATTGGCGGCGCATCTTCAATGCATAAGCTACATCGATTACCTTTTAGGTACTCAGCGGGAGGTGTCAAAGGTACATCAAATGCCTTTTAGACACTCAGCATGGGGTCTCACTCTGTCGAAGGGGCCCCATAGCGCCCTACTATTGAAGGAGAGCAAGAGAGAGGGATAGAGAGAGAGAGAGAGAGAGAGAGAGAGAGAGAGAGAGAAGAACATCAGCACTATACGGCGTACGCGTCTAGCAAGCTAGAGACGCTACCCCCTCTCAGAGAGATAGAGCCCGGCAGAGCTCCGGGGGTTGATCGGAAGGGAAGAAAATCGAGTTTGAGCGATGGCAACGGAAACGGGCCTTTTTAGCGGGGAAGGAGTCGGTAATCGAAAAAAAATCAATCCGTGCAGCCCCCCTGAATATTGGCCTATATAGCGGTAACCTTGCTAAAATCGAAAATCGGAAAATTCGGGGGTGCTCGGGTAAGGCATTTGCGCTTCCAAGTATCAGGCTGCCAATTCAAGACAATCGCGGCAATAATTGGTATTTTTCCGTGCAATCGTGATCTCTTACGAGCGCGATTCAAACAAAATTAAATTTATTTCACATTGTAATTGAATGTAAAAGTCTTCTAATTACAAATTTTACGAATACGGTTACATCTACTTGATCGTGATATTACCGACACCATAAAGTCAATAAATGCCACGAACACGAAGAAACGAAGCTAAAGAACGATGGCCGAATAATCTAGAAAAGGATTTTCACATGGCAACCGGAAAACTAGCGCGCGGACTATCATTATTATTTTTTATTTTTTTGTAATGTCCCTCATCAATGTCCTTACCAAGATATAATTAATTCAAGTATTATGAATAACTTAAAAAATAGCTTTTAAGAAAATAAGAAGTTGCATGAATGCTTCATTTATATATCTTATTGGTTTAATCGGTTTGTTGGATTAATTAGGTTTGGGGTTTATGGTAAGGGGTTTTACTTTATTTCGCTTATTTCAAGTTTCTGGGATTGAGTTATGGGGTGGCTTTTCGAAAGAAGTAATAAATATATAAGGATACCTGGGCGCCATGCCATTCTATTAAATCGCTTCTGTAATTTTTTTTAATCTTTATTAAAATTCAAATTTAATTCCCGCAATCTTTAAACTTGATAAGTAATGTGCTATTTAAAATAGCAATCGTGGAGAATTCGTATATCAGACTTTTAACGATACAAATTATTTATTTCCTAACTTTTGAGATTATAATTTTTTATAAACAATATTTAACGGTTAGTAGAAATGATTTTAAAGTCTTTACACCCACAGGTGAGAAATTATTAACTTAATTTTTAATTATATTTCATAGATCACAATATATATATATTTATATAGTTATATATATGAATATGTACATATAATGTGTTCTATTAACCTATTAAGTAGCAAACGACCGTCGTGTTGCAACAACACTTTATGTCATTCGTCTAATTTTCAAGAAATTGTGATGAATTCCTTGTGATTAACCTTTTAAGGATTTTTACGTTAAAATTTGACTTTTTTTTTGCACAATATTTGTGCATAAAATGAAAGAATATGTCACGTGGAGTGCCTGACAAAATTGGTGGTCGATATATCGACCAGTCCCATCCTTAAAAGGTTAAAGATATGCCCTTATTTATAATGACCAGGACTATCGCAAAAAATATGCTAAAATACGTAGTACCCATTTTTCGCAAAAAGTCGAAATTATGTTCAATTTTTTTTCATTTTCCGCTCTGTCAGAAAAAAAACAACGAGACCTTAACTTACTCTCGCAACAATTTTTTTCACGACCTTAGACGACAATCTTTCGAATGCACTTGCTTTTTTTTCGAAAATGTAGATTAGAAAAGAAAATCTGGTGGTTTTAGTATGGAAGTGTAATATAATACGTATTTCTCGACTACTTTTCAGCAACTTTTTTCCTATACAATTTTTTCTAATAGTTGATATTTTTTCAGTAAAATCTCTTT